CCCAAATTGGGTTGTGCTCAACCAGGTACTCAGGGCAGTGGGCTGGGGGTGGGTGTTGTCAGAGCAGACTAGCAGGTGGGACCTGGGTGGGGCAGCGCACCTGGATCAGGTTTTCTTCCTTACTGCACAACACCAGGGCATGGAGATCGTTCAGACCATGAACAGTGACCCCGGCCTGGCAGTCGGTATGTTTAAGGGACACCTAGTTAAATCACTTCTGAATGGAGAAATCCTCCCGAGTCAGAGGGGAGGGGAGGAAACGGACAGGGAGGATGGGCAAACGGGAGAAAGAGAAGGTGGTGGGGCAAGCTGGCCACACAGAGTAGGCATCCCTTCCCACCCCGCCCCACAATGGGCCCTGTTCTCCTCTCTCTGCCACCAGCAGCTTTGCTGCCCCCAACTTTGTCCCCCTACCCCCAGGATACACAGCCTTCAACGGTGTGGACTTTGAAGGCACCTTCCATGTGAACACGGTGACCGACGATGACTATGCAGGGTTTCTCTTCAGCTACCAGGACAGCGGCCGTTTCTACGTGGTCATGTGGAAGCAGACGGAGCAGACCTACTGGCAGGCCACACCTTTCCGGGCCGTTGCCCAGCCTGGTCTGCAGCTCAAGGTCCCCAACTGCCCAGACCCCTTTCCCAGGTTTCCCCCCTAACTCTAGGACCACCCCCACTGCCTGACTAGGAGCCTCTTACTCAGACACCTGGCTTGGAGGTCTGCTTCCTGAGGCACCAGAGCCTTCTCCTGACCATCCTGACTCCCCGAGTGCACTTACCGCCTGTTGTCTCCCCTTACTCTGATCCCCGTAGTTGATAGTTGACCCGCTGTCTTTGTCATTGCCCCCAGGCAGTGACATCAGTGTCTGGGCCAGGTGAACACCTCCGGAATGCCCTGTGGCATACCGGCCACACCGCTGATCAGGTACGGCTGTTGTGGACTGACCCACGAAATGTGGGCTGGCGTGACAAGACCTCCTACCGCTGGCAGCTGCTGCACCGCCCTCAAGTTGGCTACATCCGGTGAGGGGAGGGGCTGAGCGCTCCTAGGGGACCCCAGGCCTGGCCCTTCCTTCCCCTTTAGCTGAGACTCACCAGTGACTCCCCCCTCCTCAATTCCTCGTACCACGGGGCCAGGACTGGGACTGCTTCTCTGTCAGCCCTCTCACCAGATATGCTGCCTTGGCTCTGCCATCCTTTGCCATCAGGCAGCCTGGGCTCTGGCTGGTGCTGCCGAGGACCTATGTCCCATGCTGGGCAAGTCCCTCCTCCATGACCCATTTCCCCCCCGGTAAAATGAGGGTGCTGGGCTGGATGCCCGCTATGGTTCTCTGGGATTCTCCAAACCCCAGACATGCCTCATTAAGTCTGACCTGGAAGGGTTCATCATTTACAGAAGAACCAACCCCAGCCCAGACGTCACAGCTCAGAGTAGCAACAGTGGAGGCCTCTCAGTTCAGCACTTTGTCCACAACTCTGCATTTCCTTCAGACAAGTGCCCCCAGTTGGTGGGGAGCTGGGACTGCTAACTGCAGAAAGCCGGTGACAAGGAAGGGAGGGGAAATGGGTCTGCCTGGAGAATGGACTTTCCATGGCCAAGAACCCAGAGTCCAGGGATCTGGGTTGGTTCCCCTTTAAGGTGCCTGCGGCTGTGGGGGGCCAGGGCAGGGGATAAGGGAGGGATGGACTAGAGCCTGGGAAGCGGGTGACTTCACCCCCCAGCCCATTGTGCTCATCGTCATGGCAACCCAATCCTCGCTAGAAATGCGGCTGGTGCTTTCAGATGCAAAGGGGGCTGGACAAAGAACCAGGGGCCCTAGGCCTGAGAAAAGCACCCCCTTCCCTCCCCTTTCCTTTCTCCCTCCCTTCTCTCTGCGGCCTGGTGAACTCAAGGGGGGCTGGGGATGAGCAGGGCCAGGGCATGGTGGCACAGTGCCCACTGGCACCCCAGCACCAATGGATCCCCCTTTCCTGGACAGGGTGAAGCTTTATGAGGGTCCTCAGCTAGTGGCAGATTCTGGGGTGATCATTGACACATCCATGCGAGGGGGGCGTCTCGGTGTATTCTGCTTCTCCCAAGAAAACATCATTTGGTCCAATCTCCAGTATCGATGCAATGGTGAGGCTCTAGACCCAGATCAACCTGACCCCCTCGTCCCCTCGGGGAGAGCCACATTCTCTGACCTTACTCATTTCCCCTTCCTCAGACACAGTGCCCGAGGACTTTGAGCCATTCCGGAGGCAGCTGCTCCAGGGAAGGGTGTGAGGAAGTGGCCACCGGATTCGGAATCCTGATTTTAGACCCTGTGGCCTCGGGGTCCATCCTGGAGACCCTAGGGTCTAATCTACAGCCCCTCAGCCAAACACAGACCTTCCTTTGGCACCCACCAGGAATTCAGCCCCAGAAGGGCTGGGAATGGGACGTTTGCAAGGGGTATTTCTCAGGCAGTCACCCCAGAAAAAGCTAACACCCCAGGAAAGATAACAGCACATTGGCCATAAAGTTCCAGTTGTTTTCTAACCCGGTGCAATTGCTTATTTTAGGGATTTGCCGGGATAGTTCGGGGAGCAGGAAGGAACCTGAGGAGGATAAGGGAAGAAGCTTGGAAGAATGAAAGTTAAGAGATCTAGGGGAAATTTGGCTGAGTTTGGGGCGCGGGTGGGGAAGGCGCCGGATGGGGTTAGATGAAGAATGAGACGCTATTCGGAGGATGGCTAAAGCCCTCCCCGCCCTACTTACTCACGGCGGCAGCGGCAACACTCCAGTCTGTCTTAAGAGAGCCGGGGTCGAAAGCCAGGAGGGCGGAAGCTGCCCCGCTCGGGGTGAGGGGGAGGCCGGGGGGCCGGGGGGGCCGGAGGCCGGGACGAGTGCAATATTGGCGGGGGAAAGAACAACACTGCACCGCGTCCCGTCCCTCCCGCCCGCCCGGGGCCCGGGATCCCGCTCCCCACCGTCTGAAGCCGGACCGGCCTGAGAAACGGGGGTGAGCTGGGAAGTGGGTTCCCCTTGAAGGCCAGTGAGATTTGGCGCCTGGAGTGGGGGTAAAGAGGATGAGAAAACGAGAGACCGCGGTAACCCGGAAGGCCGCTTTCTGGTATCCCGGGCGTTGCGCGCGCTTGCTCCTTAAATACCCAGACTGCGCGGCGCGGGGCTGTCGCCATGGTAACGCTTGTCTCGGCAACCGAACTGAACGGCTGTTGCCGGGCAACGCCGGAGTTGGCGCTTGGGGCCGCCCACCGAGATCCTCGTGCTCTCCGGAGCCGGCGGTGAGGGGGCGTCCCCGCCTCTCCGGCCCAGGCGCGCTGACGTCAGCCCCTCCCCGAGTCCCGCGCCCGCCCCCGGGTCCCGCAGCCGCACAAAGCGGCGCAAACCAGGCAGAGCTGCGCGCGGGCGGGAGCACCGGTCCCGTGCTTCCTGACCGGGCTTCCCTTCAATCCCGCACCGCACCGAAGTGTTTTTTTAACTATTATGTTTCATTCTGTACTCGTTGAGGATAAAAATTGTTTTCCTAATACAGACGTGACTACTTTTGTCAGCCTAGACCGCAACTCGGGACCACCAGACGGGGTCTGATACCCTGTGCTCCGCGTGCCGCAGTGGCCTGATACCTCCCTGCGCCCCACCCCCCAAATATCTCTACCCTTCAAAATACCTCTCGGTCCTCCCGAATTCCGCACCCTCACATACAGCTCTGCCCCCCACCAAGTGCCTACCCTCCCAAATACCAGTCCACTCTCTAAATGTTAGTTCTGTCCCTCTAAATGCCTTCAAGTACCATTCCGTCGCCCCACCTACTCTCGCCTCAAATACTTAACTGCCCCTACATACCTCTGGCCCATTCCCCCTCCCACATTCCGATGTCCTCTCCCACGTTACTCAGTGGCCCTTTCACAAACCTCAAGACCCCACCCACTTACCGCCATTTCCTCCAGATACTGCCCCACGCGCCCCAGGGTCCCCTTCTTGAAACTCCCAGCCCCTCCATCATAAAGTACATTCCTCTCCTTGCCTGCCCATGGCATTGACCCTTCCGCCGGGGCCCTGCCTTTCGCGGCTCTCTCCGACCCCCCTTAGGCAGCACCGCCCAACCCTCTCTCCCCGGGCCGGGGCAGCCTCAGCCCGCCCGGGACGCTCCCGCGAGGCTCCCGTGACCACTAGAGGGAAGGAGAGCCGGGCCAGCGATGCCGGCCGTCGACGCTCGAAGGTGGAAGGCTGGGAAGGAAGGACCCTAGGCTTCAGGGGAGCCCAGGTTTAGCCCTTCTTTACGCGGAAATTTTTTCCCCCGCCTCCTGCTAAGGAGGAAGCCCAGGAGAGACCTAGGCTGCCAGAAAGTCTGACCGGGGCGGGGACTGTAGGTTTCGGGGTAAAACCGTGTGTGGAACTGGACGGAAAAGAGAGCAGTTTAGAAGGGTGGGGCTATTCCGGGAAGTGGTAGGGGGAGGGAGCCCACAGGTAGTGCTCAGTCCACTAATTATTAAACCCTTTCATTTTTTTTCACAGCCCTCAGGGGCTTCGATGGACCCAGTAAGAGTGGGGAAGTGAGAATGCAAGTTTTAGGGGTGGGCTTCTGAGGCTTGCTGTCTAGGACCTTGACTAAGCCCGTTCTCTCTGTTCCTTTCTCTCACCTAGCCATTGCCCTGAGGCCAAAACTAGAGCCATGGGGAGCCAGGTCCCACGCTCCCCCCTCCCCACCTCCTGGGGCTACGGAGTGGTTGTCAAAAGGGGGAGGCCAGCTGGAGAACAAACAGGTTGTCCGAGGGTTGTGTGATTGGAGCCAATATACCTGAGGGGCCAGGAGTAGTTGGGGAGGAGGAGGAAGAGAAAGAATTGGGAAAAAGGGGAGGAGGCGGTGGCTTGCCACCTGTCACCTGCTCCGGCTGGACTTACGCGGGCGGGGGACCGGTATAAAGCAGCAGATGCCTGTGCCCGCTCCACCTCACACACATGCAGTGCCTGCCTGAGTCTGTTCTGCCTCCTGCCCATCCAGTTCACCACCACCATGACGCCGGTCACCCAGTCCCCTTTCTTCCTCCTGCTGTTACTCCCAGTGCTTACAGGTAAGGGGTGCAAGGTGGGGAGGGGGGCTGCCTTGATCATGCCATTTCCTGATGTTTCTGTGGGCTTTGCTTCCTGGCAGATGGCACCATGAGAGGCAGGAGTTGTAGACAGGGGTGGCCCAATCCAGACCAGAATGAAGGGGAGAAGCTGAGGATAGGCTGAGAAGAGGCGGCCCCCAGGAAAGTGGGTGTCAGGGGCAGGTGAATGCCGTGGAGAGAAGTCTTGGGGGGAAGGGGAGTCAGGAGAGGTAAGTCGTGGGAGTGGAAAGACGGACAAGCCAGGGGCAAAGGGGCGCTGAAGAGAGAGGGAGGCTGCCGGTAGGAAGGAGGAGGGCCAACCCAGGGGCTGCCTGGCTGGCGGCCCACTCCCCAAATCCTCCTGGCATTACTTCTCCAGTTGCCAGAGGTTGTATTTTCTCTTTGCCCTGATTTGTTCTTCAATTCCAACCCTGTGGCCTCAATTTCTTAACAGCTGCCACTTCCAGTACCACAACAACTCTTAGAATCTTTGGCTCCACAACTCTCAACCACAGCACAATTACAACTGACGCTGGCACCTC